CCCGGCTCCCTCCCCGGCTGCCACCGCCCAGTGCCCGCCTCCATCCCGCCTCCATCCCGCCTCCATCCCTCCTTCATCCCTCCTTCCCGCCCTCCTTCTTCCCCGCCCGGCCGCGGTTCCACGCCCGCGATCGCGCTTCTTCTCCTCCTCATCTTCTTCCTCCTCCTCTCACTCACCTCCGTTGTCCGCTTGCCGCGGCGGGGTGCGGGAAAGGTTTGGGATGCGGGAGTGCAAACCGCTGACCTTCCCAAAAACTCCATCCGTGACCTCTGCATGGCATAGTCACGGGCCATCACAGAATGATGACGGAGGAATAATAATAATAATAATAATAATAATAATAATAATAATAATAATAATAATAATAATAATTGAATTGCAGAACTTTAACCCTTTAATATCCTTTTGACCTTTAATATCCTTTAATATTGGATATTAAAGACCTCGTTCCATACCCTCATGCCATGGACAGCACACCTTCCACTATCCCAGCTTGCTCCAAGCTCCATCCAGCCTGGCCTGGAACACTGCCAGGGATGGGGCAGCCACAGCTTCTGAGGGCAGCGTGTGCCTCACCACCCTCACTGGGAAGAATTTCTTCTTAATTCCTAATCTAAACCTGCCCTCTGTCAGTTTAAAGCCAAACCCTGCTTTTACAGACCAGCACATCCAAGCCAGGAGCAAAAATTTTGCATCTGGGGCCAAAGAAATCCAGGCATGAAGAAGTGAGGGTGTAAGGAGAGGGTAAGGAAAGGTTGAAAGTAGAGGAGAACATGGAAATCTTTGCATGGGGGTGCTGACCATGGCATGGGCAGCGGAATCAAAGCACTGGTGAGGTGCTGCTTCAAAGCTTATTTGACTAAACCAGTCAAAAAAAAAAAAAAAAAAAAAAAAAAAAAAAAAAAAAAAAAAAAAGCCATAATGAAGAGAACTTTGCAGCAGCATGTAGACTAATTGCAGCAAGGGATCTGCAATTAGGTTTTCAATGGGCATGTGGTGGAAAGAGGCAGGGGGGTGGAATGCAGATGCTGAAGGGRAAAAAAATAGAAAAATGTTAGTTTCAAAATAGAGCAAAAATTGAGTTGCAGACATGTACCAAGGGGGAAAATGGAAGAGGAGGAAATGGGCATTGAGGGAGTCCTCCAAAATACTGGGTTTGTTTGGGAAGATGTGAGCCCGCTGTACAGTGGCTCTCAAGGACATTATAAGTATTAACGAAATGCTCTTTCCCACTATTCCTCTGTTCCTCAGAAGATTCTGAGTGTTTTTGATACTGAAAGGGCTCAGATGAAATTTGTCTCCTCACTCCTGTGCTGTTTGCAGCACACAACACAGAGTGGTGTGCCCTGCACCTGCTTTTCCTGGTGGGTCCTTGTTCTGAGAGCCCACAGCTGACAAAAATCCTTACARAACAGTCTTCTTAAAGACTGTGAAGTGCTTTCAGAAAAGGATACCTGCTTCCTCTTGCAGCTTAAAACCAGTCCTCCCAAATCCTGGCCCAAAAGCAGGTGAGAGCACATGCTGAGAGAATGGTTGAAGCTAAAGCCAACTCCGTTTCTTTTTGCTGCTTCAGCCCACAGCCGTGTCAGTGCAGGGTATCTGTGGTCATCTTTTAGTTTGGGTTGGGAGTGACCTTTTGAAGGGTCTTTCCAAATCATCCCAGCTCACCTGAGGTTGCTAAGCAAAACTGGAAAAAAAAAAAAGAAGCCACATACTGTACCTGTGTCTCTCTACTCATTTTGTGGCCCATAAAAGGTCCAGAAGTAGGTTCAACCCCTACCCCAAAACATTTAGACCGCCCCTGCTGACTTAAAAATCCTCTCCCATGGCTTTTCCTCCTGGATCTTGGCTCACAGGATCTCTGTGTGCTAAAACCTCTATTCCAATACAAAGATATTTTTCCAAGGGTACCAGAAGCCCTCCAGGTATGGAAGCAAAGGTTTCCACATTTTCCTTCACCCTTTGTAGCCAGGTTTTGCATATAGCTCTGTGCCTTGCATGTGTTTGCACACAAAGCTTCATGCAATATTTATGTAAAGCTATTTCAACATTTTCCGAGCTGTTGTGCGCTGTACAATGAATACATTGAGTCCAAAATAAAATACATCTGAATAAAATCTGTCTTAATGTTCAGATTATTTTTTAATTTTGTCTTTTGTCATTTCAGTCCAAATTCCTCCCTCCCAAGTCACCTTTTCCACTCTGAGGTGTGTAAGGTGCTGTCTCCAGTACTCTCTGCTGACATTTCCGTGTTCATCCTTCACAGTGCATCAGTTCCAGGAAGGAAA